CATATATGCTTTTTTAAAACTAGCAATTAATTTCTATTCCTCTTCAACACTAAAATTTATACTTCATCAATGCTGCTGAATATTCTCCTATAGAGAAATCAGAGGTAACGTATTTACAAAACAATTGCCTTCTCCTAGTGCTCTCCACCTCAGTATGGAATAAAAACTGCTACTGAAAAGTAACTTGATATGCACCAATTCCCTGTGCTCCTGAAGATGATGAAACAATCTAAAACCCAGTCTCCTCAGAATAAAACTGTGTGCTGCACAGGAAGACAAGACAAAGATGTTCTGAAAACAGAGAAGGGTAATTTATTCTGTAGTACTAGCTACTCATAGCTACATACCCTCACTACAAAGGAATGTTAGACTATCTTATCTGTACATTAAAATAAATTCATACTGTATGATAAATTTGTCCTTAACTCTGACATATATATCTCAATATATCTGAAAGCATGAGGATAAAATACAGTAGTTAGAGTATTTTTATTCTTAACCAATATACATTGGAAGATAGACATTGAGATTTTATCATAAAATATATTCACCGAGAAGTAACTTGGTTTTTAATATTCGTTACCAGCCGGTTAAAGAAAAAAGATGGTGTAGGGAATATTAGAAATTCAGCTTAATGAAAGAGACTGCTACAAAATTATGTTAGAGTTACACTTCAAGAAGACCTAGGCATAACAAATAAATAACTGGTATAACAAGATGCACCAGACTGTATTCTAGCAAGTCAAGTGCAATAAGACAAACTTCTAAAATCTGATTTATTAGGCAGAAACATTCCTGACTCACTGAATAAAATACAAATCTAGTACTGCAGAAAATGCCACAGATGTTTCTTTGGTTTCTCACATTCATGTAATATTGAAAGTTAAACACATCCAAATAAATTTAAGGTATTTCTATAAATAGTCAATTAAATCTTATTGGACTATCCAATGTAGTCCAAGTTTCCAAGGCCTTTGCAACAATAAAACCCGCAGTAAGAATTCACAAGACTGGGTTTTAAGAGATGTATTAAAATAATTCATTTTAATCTGTCTTCAGATTAAATGTCAGTACAACTATTATAATGTTAAATATTACAAAGTAATAAATGAAAACAAAGATATATGAGAATATTTATTTACTGAATAAACACAGGGTACTATTTCTTGCAATGTAATGCTTGTAGGCAAGTCTTCATGCACAATTCTTGTCTTTCAATGGGCTTACCTACACGCCTAAGTGCTCCCTACAAAGCAAACCACAATTTACATTATCTTGGAAATATACATGAATTTTATACACATGGAAACTCAATCACATTTTCACCTAAAGCCTTCAGTAGCTCCAGAAGAGCGCTAAGCAAAATTTGTCCCTCATAACCTGGTACCTGCCAAACAGTGCAAACTTACAAAGAGATTAAGAGAAGAAAAAACAAACAAACAAACAAAAGAACACTAAATGAAACACAGGACAAAGGGTAAAATACACTGAAAAGAAAATAATGCGAAGACAGAAAATTAAAATAAGCTAATGCACTGTAAGAAACAATTAGGCTATCAAAAGATACAGCAAAGAGATATTCAACACTACTGATAAAGGACACATGCAAAACACTAAACACAGAGTATAAAGTTTAGCAATGTAAAAATTAAATCAACAAGTTCTGTTTTAATGGAAGTATCTCAAAAGACGATGTAAAGGTTTCAGAGCTACAAAATAAAAGCTGAGTTCTCAAACATTCACCAAACCGTATTTTTTCTGAGGCATTACAATACACAAGAAATCAAATTGTGTTCAATCACAGGAAAATTAACAATACTTCACAATTATACAACCCCCAGATCAGCCTGTTACTGTCTACATGAATGTCTAACACTGCAGTAAGATTTCTTTTTAGAGATCTTGGATCCTTCTTTGTAGGATGGAAAAATCCTATTAAAGAGCTTGTGGAGCATCCATTATTGTTCTGAGAGAAGGTCAAAATAACATTCCATAATTTGCTTTCTGTGATAGTTATTTTTCCTATCATATCATCCAGTTTTCCCAGAAATATTAACATATGAATGTTGCTTAAAGATGTTAACATTCAAAATACAACAGATACTCATACAAAATACCACAATATACATTCACTTGTTTTTCTTATAGCAAGTCGCATCACCAGCTGTTGAAGGTTATGGTATATTCATATTTTATCAATGTTGCAATAATTTCTTGGAGAGTGAAAATCAGCTGTATGAATGTGTGTTAATCAAACTATGTAATGAAACAAGAAATAATTTAAGTCTATAGACATAAATTGATTCTACATCTCAGAGGAATATAGATTTTTTCCCCTCTGTGGCTGATCCAAAGAACAGTATTAATGGCTTACTGGAGAAATCTGCCTCCTGAACCCAGCCAAGATGCTAATGCCTTTCTGAGTTTGCTTTTAAAAGTGAACAGAAACATAAACCAAAGGAAAGTATCATCCATAAAGACAAGTTTAATCACAAACTAATGGAGGACAGAGAAACAAAACCATATACCGTGTGCAGATCTAAGAAGCCTAAGACTCGCATACTTTGTTTAACCAGAACTATCAAAGGCAAAATGAAAAGCCTATACCTGATGGCAAGGGAACCCTGGAATTCTTTGTCTCCCTAGAAAGGGGACATCAAGGAAAACATTTCTGCTAACACCTCTTTTTTCAATCTACCATTTTTGAAAATAATCACCATATGAGATAAAACAGGGGTAAAATCAATACACAATTCAAAACCTAACACATGAATTAAGAGTACCCTGTAATGAATGTTGATGTATTTTTAATCTTTAAAATAATGTATTGCACTGTATTTGATTAACTTTTGAACTATGAAGTTCCAGATAAAGGATTACCAAATATAGATTTAAGTTATTTAGAAGGATCACATTATCATGAGGAACCATTAGAATACTAGATTTATTTTCTTTCAAATATAAGCCCTACAGTCCCCCCAAAGCTGCTTGTAATTTTCCAACAATAACAACATGCTTTTAAAGGGAAAAGAACATCCAGTTAAGTAATACTACCTTCAGAAGCATGCTTCCCTTCTGAATAGTAGGGATGACTTTCTTGATCTAGGAGAGAATTCTAGTTTTGACTTTGTTTTACCACCAAATATCATTAAAATATAAAATAGGATAAAAAACAGCACTTTTTTTCAGAGTTCTGCATTCAGACAGCAAGTTAATAGCAAGTTACCAAGTCCTAATTGCAGGTGACCTGTACAAACATCCAATTTCAAAAGCTCTAACAAACAATCTGCCAGTGTGAACAATTCATCACATTTTCAGAGTACATAACAGTATATACTATATAATATATATAGTATGATTATATTATATATAGTATATGATATATAATACTATGTATATAGTATATGATATATATACTATATATATATGGTATATAGTATATGATATATACTGTAACAGTATATATTCAAAAGCTAACACTAGGGCATATTCCTCATTTTTTTCAGGAACACTTTAGATCTGTGTTTAATTGTTAGGGGAAAAACAAAACTTCCCCCGCCCCCCAAATTTACCTTCAAGTTCAGATTTTGATTTAAAGAACTGTGCATTTTGGACATGTTTAATTTGGAAGATGTTAAAATGGAAACTACATCTAAAAATCTGATCTAATCTTCATCACTCTTCCTAATAAATACCAAATCAGTGGATACAATACTATTACATTTTCGTACTAACATAACTAGTAAAGTCATCCCATATACAGATTAAAAAATTTCAAAAGACAATAGTCCATTTTTCCCATTTACAATTTTTCCATTTACAATTCTATCTAGCAGAACAAGTGTCCATATACTTTGGACTGATGGCTGAAGATACAGATAGTTCATCATTATTTTAAAATGATAGTTTGTGTCAACCATGCCCTAATCCATAATTTTCTCTGACTAAAATAATGCATTCATATCCAATATTGAGCAAAATCGCATCATAAAAATAATACAACTCTAGCATCCACCCCCAAAACAGGCAAACTTCTGCTGGATTAAACAATCATCTCTGCTTTATGCCCCCTATTCATAATGATTGTGCTGTGATTATTACAGAAACTACTAGCAATATCTTTAGCTCTCTACATAAAGCAAACTGAAGATTATCTGAATTTGGCCCCTCAGTACTCACAACAAAATGCAGAGCATCTACTAAACAGCAAAACACACAGAAGTCAAATGCGTAACAAAGACTGTGAAATAAAAACTGCCACGATCTATTACTTGAAGACAAATTTTCTCCACATAAACTTTCTTCACTGAGAAAAGCACCCTTTTGTTTTAAAGATCACTGTCACAGTTACCATGTATTTACAATTACCGCAGTTATCTACTTACAGACATTTAGATGATAAATATAAAAACATATCAGTACTCTTTTCTAATAATAATCAGAATGTATATATATTTACATTTAAATGAATATAAACAACAGTGTAACACAACTTATTCTGGAGAAATTTCTCAAACTGCTGTGTTTAAAAAATTGACCTTCCTTAATATTGTAACAGAAAGTTTTTTTCCCATGAGCATGAAAACAAACCTTAAGTTCTATATACAACAGAATGTCAGCTTCATAAGCTGTCTGTGCTGTGTCTATTAGATACGCTGATAGGTAACTGAACTGTTTCTAATTAGGGGGTCATAGATTCTTTGTTTTGCTTCCAGCTAGCTTTCTAGAGAAAAGAGATAACAGATGTGCTTCCAAAAACAATTTCTGGCCAAAGCACCCATATCACTAGAAATGTATAAACCACATTGCTGTACCATACTGCATATTAAATAGGGAGTTTAATTTTGTTTGGGGTAGAAACAAGGAAGAAAAATGTAGATTGAAGACTATGAAAATTATAAAGCATTTAAGTTTTTGTGACAGTACTTCAAATACTTATTAATTTACGTATTTTTGTAAGAAACAAAAGCAGAATTCATGGTTACCATAGTTACACATACTCTTTGTTGTGTTTCAATGCCACATGATCTGATTCAAAGTAATACACATCAGGCTCTTCCTCATCATCCTCTGCAGTGTGATTGTTGGCACTCTCTTTGGCAGATGGTATATATCCAGCAACAAGCCTAGCCTCAGAAAGTGGCTTTCGTAGTCCATCACTCCCATGGTCTGTATTACAATTCCTCTCTTTTTCATTCTGTTTAATTTCTTCAGAGTTTTTGGGAGATCCATTGATATTATTAATACCTACAGGTACATTCTTTTCAGTGGGACTAATATTATTTTCCTCAACCTGTCCGTTTTCTCTACAAGGAGAGTTATTTTTAGTAGGGCTACTTCTGGCAGGGGCAGCCCTTCGTGGTGAAGTTCTCAATGTATATCTGTGTTCTTGAAGTTCTGAAATAGATGTCATTTGAGCTGAAACACAGTCCAGCACTGAAGAATGTGGTTCAGGTTCGCCTGAGATTGATGCACTGTCATGATGGGTATTCGGGTTGCTATTGGTGTTTTCAGCACACTGATCCTTAGAGGCACTGCTATCTCCTACTACATCTACTTCCTCCTCAGAATCCCTCAACAAAGATGACTGGATTTCAGAAAAGGACCCCGTAGCTGGCTCATCTGCCTGATTAGCATGCTCTTCAGGCAAGCAGTCATTTATTATTTTGTGGTCCTCTAACTTTACCTGTTCTTGAGAGTTTGTGCAAGGCACATAATGGTCTACAACACTGTCCTCTTTGCTGCTATTAAGCAACAATGAAGAATGGGCAAATGAGTTTCCATTTTCTGCTACTGTTTTATCCTTGGGCATACAGGAGCCAGCATTGTTTTGCTTAGCGTTCCCATCAAACTGACAGTCATCACAGTTTAGAGAATTTGAGTCTCTCTCGCCAACTCCATTGACAGTCTGGTAGCCTGCGATTTCTTCAACTACTGCAGAATTATTAAATCCTTCTGCACACACATTCACCTTTTTAACTTCCCTTTTGTCACAATCATCCAATATAAGACATCGACAAGCTCGCTTAGTCCCAGGAGAGAGTGCATCATTGTCCGACACTAAACTTTTACGCTCCAATGATTCCTTCTCTGTTTTAGTAGACAAGTCTTCTTCTGAACTGTTAGGTGCCTCCGAACGTAGACAGCGTTTAATTCTTTTCAATACTGGTGATACAGGTTCTCCTTGTCGTTTCTCACAATTTTCCACAGTTTGTTTATCAACATTATCTTTTTCTGAAGTAGAAAGCCCTCTCTTTCTAGGGCTCACCCATGATTCCCGAGCACTCTGTTGTTTCAAATCAGTAGTTCTTCCACCGTTACCTCCCTTCTGAGTTTGCACAGACTCTGGCCTCTTCTTTGGTGACCTCGATCGTACTTGAGGATGGGGTGAAACTTCCTCTGGATGAGCAATACTACGGTTTCTTAACGTTCGACCACAAAAGTTTTCATCCAAACCATTTAAACCCACTGTTGATCTTGTAACACGAGTAGATCGAGAAGCAGCCATACTATGGCAAGTCCCTAAAGTATGTTCATCATGATCCACTCATTGGGAAACCTTAAAAAAAATAAACAAAAATTAAAAAAAATACAAAACCACCTACAGATATAGCAATTCTGAAGAACATATTACTACATTATCTAATGTAAAACCAAACATGTCTATTCATTGTAATAATATGATTCCTTTATGTGCTAATGTATTAGGACATTAAGAAGTTTAGGTTAGAAAAGACCTCTAAGGTCACCTAGTTCAACTTCTTGCTTAAAACAAAAACACATTACTCAGGTCTAACCTCCTGCTCAAAAAATTCAGATGAGGTTACATAGGACTACATCTAGTTGGATCTTGAAAACCTCTGAGTACAGCCTCAGGGCAACCTGTTCCAGTGTTTGTCTTCACAGGGAAAATAGTTTTGTTATATCCAGGTGGGACCTCTCCTAATTCAATTTTTGATCACCATCGCTCATTTTTGCACTACTGACGTGAACGAAAAGCCTGGCTCTATTGTCTCAATCTCCTCTGAAGTACTAGAATGCTGTCCTTCCAAGCCTTCTCCATTTTCCAAATTTTCACATAGTTGATGAATCATCACCGACATGGGATTTAAGTAAATTCAGACTCAATGGTAAGTTTAAAACATCTAGTTTGAGAGTATATTTGAGATTTCTGGCTAAAATGTAGGAGCACAATCTGAAAATAACGTTTTTTCATAAAAGTCACTTCAGTCTTATACCTTTTTTATTCATCTCTAAAAATTCAACATGTCAAACTCCACATCACCACAAATCTGTCATAATATCCATGATAATGAATAGATTCACGTTTGTACATAATAGCATACCATCCCCTTTTCCATCTATCTGAATTCCAGATTTCAGAAACCTGTTTCACTAACATATGATGGGAAAGCTTAACATTTTAAATATGGAATCAAACCTTTTACATGCTTCTTCAAAAGGCAGAAAATGACAAATGGAAGAAAATTGTTTCATGAGTTTTTTTTTTAATCTTCAACAAGAGAACAGAAGTAAGAGCACAAATTCTCAGTGTTCTACTGTTTAGTGTCAGTTGGTCATAGAGTAGAAAAGAGAGAATGGGACAAGTCCAGTACACCTCTTAAGCAATTGAAGTTTGACAATTAATAGTAATTGTAATAGTAATTATAAATAATGTTGTCTGCTTATGTGTTCTTAGTACAAGACGTTTTTCATAGTAAAAGAAACATGCTAAAATATTGTTTGATATAGCTATACATACAAGCAATGCTCATGAATAAAATGTTTCTTTTTAACTATAGTAATATGAAAAAAAAACTAACATTTAGCTTTGTTAATATAAAGCTTGTAAACTCTGAAAATCACTGAATACAAAATTAGTCTAATCCTAATGTATTACTAGTAGCAATCCACAAACAGCCACCAAAAAAAAACAAGCAAACTGTTTTTATACTTAAAGCCATAAATTGACATAAGTAATTACGGAATATGGAAATGCTACTCTCAAGCTTCTGGCTTTAGCAGCATTTGACTGAGCAATAGCCATACAATTCTTCTCTCTAGCTTTTCAACTAGCAAGACAAGTTGAAGGCTGTTGGGGAGGATAAATTTTGCTAATCTGAAGAGAACAGACAGATTATCATTATTAGTTAATTCTAAGTATGACAGCATAAACAATACCTTATACAGTACCTTGGCTATAGTTGGAGCTATATACTGTCAGTGCTCAGTAGTTTAGCTCCAAATCAACAACCAATTAGGTACTATGGACAGTAGTTTCTTTGGTCCCAGTTAAAACAGAAAAAGTTGTTTTAAAATCTCAAGCGTAAAGCTGGAAACACAGACTTCCAAAGTACTGAACAGAAAATTCTAACCTGAAGTAATAAATGTGAATAAGATAGAAGACTTCCAAATTTCTAATATTTACTTAAAAACATGGTTGCAGTGGATTAACTGAAAATGTGTTTTTTCTAATTCACAAGGATCTTCATTTTTCTAAATACATTCCAAAGCAAAACCCCAAATAAAAATTTTATTAGTACCAGTTATGAACAGTTCTAATTTGGCTAGGACTGAACAGAACTTGCTAAATCTGAATCAATCACACACAACAATAATATAAACTTAAATTCAGCAACACATCTCTCTGTAGTCATTGCTGCAATTCCTTTTTCAGGTAAAAATATTTGAGCATAGCATTGTTTTATGGTCATTTTTCAACTATAGGGCAGGTTCTTTGTACCTTGTATAAAACATGGCAACTCTAAGCTTCATAACGCAGGCCAATCAAAAAGGAAAGCAAAGACAGAAAAAAAAAAAAAAAAAAGCTCTTAGGATACCAAACAAAGACAGGACAGAATTGTTTGAGAGTTGTGTTTTTTTAACCTGTTTTACCTGTTCAAGTAAATAATGCATACTATGGAAATTCAACACAACATAGCGTATTTTTGTTAAGATGGTATTGTGTAGTATGGGGAACTGTTGCTATGAATCTTTAGACAAAACAGTATTCTGCTTTGTACAGCAACATTAATCAATTCCCCAAAGGTATCTAACAAGTCACCAAAAAGCAATGCTGTCAAAATCACCACTGTCAAGTCCAGTGCAGCCCTCAGAGCTTACAGTCTAAATTATTTGGTAACTTAGAACCAGGAACTTCAGGACAGACCCCTAGCACACTGTATGTTACACTATGCTAGAAAGAGCTCTTTCTCCTGTCTGTTCCCCTCAGTGGGGGCAGAGCCAGGTTTTGGAAGGCCTTCATCCAAGACATGCCATAGTAGTTGGAGTGGAAGGCCTGTAGAAAAGTATGATGTTTATACCATAGAATTCTTGCACTGCTCCTCCCAGATGTTCTGGAATCTTCCCTACATTCCAAAACTCAGGACAAACCAAGGAAAAACACTCCTACTTTCCTGCCGTAGACTAATGGCTAGCCATAGCCACTCTCGCTGTTGAACTGCTAGGATAATACTAAAGGGCAGGCACTTGAACAGCAGCATTTTTCTCAGCCACACACTTCCTGAAAAGCAATGCGCCAGCAGTGCTGCTGGAAAAGAAGAGTGGACTGGCTGAACCACACTGCATGTGACTTTCCCTTTTTTTTTTTTCCTCCCCTTTTTAAGTACTTCTCCTTTACAGAACACTGACAAGGATGTGCTGCATAACCAAGCATTCGACAACGAAAAAAAACAATTATGAAATGGAAATTTCAAATGCTCCCCAAACTGAGTTTTATTTGTACTTCTAAACCCCTCCTGCTTACTCCTGCTGTCCTACATGAGTATCTATGTCTGTAAAGGAGTGCTGTTTGTATTCCGGGAGATACATGTGTGAACAACTGCTATCCTATTAACTTCCATTTTGTTCCAATTAAAAGTTTTGTTCAATTCAGGACAAAGTGCAGGTTGTCCAATGAACTCTGTCTTAGGAGCAAATATAAATAGCAAGACAGCAAATGGAGAAAACATCAGTAGTTGAACTGAAGAGGTAAAAAGAACTAACAATATGTTGTCTACAATAGTTGTTCGTAACTATTTTCTGCATGCATCAACTTGCCTGTATTTTCTCCCCTTTAATGTACAAGCTCAGTGCTTTCTAGAGAGCATTCTCATTTGAGGAAGAACCCAAACACGAAAAACAAGGTCATTTAGATACTCCATTTCACTTCGGTTTGGTAATTAAGCCTAGCATACATAAGGATCAGTAACTGACATTTGAAACGGATATTGAAAAAATAAAATAAAACAAGTTCTAACGTACACTTTGGCAAGAAACTACTGTTAAACTCAACAAATTAGAAATAATATACAAGACAAAAATCTTAACTGATTTGCTGCTGTTATTTGCTAAAGAAAGAAATCTTACAGAACAAACTGTTATTTACTTATAACAAAACATAAAATCTTACCATTGCAAAACTAGAAGAAATATAAACTTCTGATGTTTCATACAGCAGACTCCCACTGCACCACTCTAACAATATCAAACACCATTGCTGACATCCATGAGGTAATCCAAATGTCTTTTTACTAGTTTATGCCATCACATTAGCAAGATTTTGAAAACTGTTGAGAAAAGGACAAAGGACATCAATAAAACATGTAAGTTATTTCATTAAAAAAATAAGAAAAATGCAGCAGTATATAGTAAAGAGTAATGGCTTTCCTGAAGCAATTACCAGTTTTACAAGTGTCCTACATAAAGAACAGTATGTTATAAAGTAATTAAGAATGTGAAACGCTAATTCAGGTTTCAAATGTAAAATACCTTGGATTAAGTGACTTGGAGTAGTACACTCACGATACACGAGAAAATCAATTCACAAAGCAGTCATGGTATTCAAACCTCAGAAGATACTTCAAGAGACACAAGAAGGTAAGTAGTGAAAAATATAGATTACAATGAATTATGAAATACTTTATTAAATATATTTTATAATTAGATACATAGTGAAAAATAATTATTCTGCTATTCAACTTTCACCAACTTAAAATCTACATTAGCTCTAAATCCCTGATCTACCCTTAATTAAGTGACATGCTTTTCAGAGTTCACATCAAAGCTATTCTTCTCACAAGGAAAACAAGCAAAAATACTTTGTTTACAGTGGAAGTAAACCAATTTTGACATCGAAAGGCAAAAGTAAATGTACAGAATAAAAAGCACCCTGCTTCCAGATGTCTCTGGAGTACAGGCACCAGTGCCCATATCTAACAGCCATTAATGAAGAATCACACCAGGAATCACATTTAACCTAAGAACAGCTGGTATTACGGAGGCACCACAGATCCCTATGGAATAGAGATTACTGAATCTTTCTTCACCTTCTATTGAATTAATTAGAGTGATCTTATTTTCATACTGAAAATTCAGTAACGTCACGGTGCAAACCACAATCTGACAGGTTTCTCCACATTTGTCTTTCTACACCATTATTATATTTGGATTATAAATGTAAAAAGCCTTGGGAAATTGTCTTGTTTACTTTGAACCTACTAATAGTATCATACTGGTAAGAGTTGAAAATGAATTCCCTATCATGTTAGCAATTCAGAATACAAATTCATCTAGGTAAGAACAGAACAGATTAATTATATCTGGTTATAGTGAAATTCAATAATAAAAGATATTTCTACAATGATGTTAAATGAAGTATCACAAATTCTATTACATGGCTAACTAAATCAAATGAGATTTCAATTATTCAGTGGAATTTCTGAATTTAACAAAAAGCAGGAAACTGTCAAAATAAAAGACAAATAAAGAATGGAAAAACATGAAGGCAAGGAAAAATATTTGAAAACCCAAGAGGTAAATGACTGGAAAGAATAAGCAAAAAGGCACAGCAGCTACCTAGCTGTACCAGGAACATACCCAGAACATAAGACTCCATGAAGAGCTCCAATATGAACTGATTTCTGGCTGTTTTCTCCCCCCTCTATATCAAATTTCTTCTGTTTTTAGTACTCTGGTATGTTCTCAGTTACTTAAACCTGTAATTATCTTTCCTATTGATCCCTTTAAGAGTAACTTTACGTAACTACAAAAAGACAGATTTTGACAGATTTTTGAAAAAAAAAATCATACCACAACAAAAATGCCACTGCTCAGTAGTGTTGGTAAAACTTAAAATACAGGAAAAGCGTAAGATACTATATACAACTGGACGTCAAACAGAAGAAATCATGATCTCAAAATTTTTCATTACTTTACCAGTCCATAAGGAATGGGCATTTGTGTAAGTTGTTTCAGGAACAGCCAAACTAGCAATGGCAGGCTTTCAACTGCTTTGTATACTTTCTCTCCCCCTAATTTCCTCTCCTCCAAAACAACCCTATTTTACTCCCTGCAGGAAAGAAACCACCCCTGCTGTGCCTGGTGGCCTTTTGGGAGAGCAAGAAGATATCTGAAACAGAAGAAATAATGTAAGTATCACATTAGAAGAACCCAAGGTGGGGGAAAAAAAAAAAAAAAAAAAAAAAAAACTAGTCCCAACTTTTTGTTACCTGCTTTGCAAAAACTAAATTGACCAAAAAATACCACCAAACTCCGAAACAAACCTTTAATCAGGATACACTGAAATGACTGCACCTTGATTACTGCTTAAAAACTAGAAAAGAAAAGATAACTTACTGAGTTCTAAATTCATCAACTTAGAAGTTCATTTGGCAAAAACATCTTGAAAATAAACTATTTCTTTCTATTTCAAAACTAATTAGAATGATTTTTTTTCACCTAGCACAAATACATATTCCATGGTTGAGAAGTTCACTGGAAGCCTAATCTTATGTTTTGGACACCACTCTTAAAGAATTTATGAATTGGAGTAAGGTGTGCAAGGTAAACTAAACACGCTAGGAGGATTAAAGCTTTCTTCGGGGAACAAAATCAACCTTTAAAAATGCAAATATTGCAATAAAGACTCTAAAGAATTAGCTAAGAAACAACATGGTCTGGTGTGTGTGAAGCCCACTAAAAACAAAGGAGTGAGAAATTACAGACGAATGTAGAATGTAACGCAGATGGAGACAAAGCTTTAAAGAAAGACTCTGAATGCATCTCCCATAGGGAGAGAGGGGTAAGCAGCGAGACACAAGTGGTGATACTGAAACCTTATAGGGAATGGTCATACATTAATCAGTGCGGCACTTCTTCACAGTCAGACTGAAGCATTACACAGCTTTATGCGGACTTCCCTAATTAACACTGCAGTCAGATTATTAAGTTAACCAGAAGCCTACTTAGCAAATAGGCTAGTAAATACTGACTTGTGTGTACAAAAAACCTCCTGCAACAGGGCAAACAAATTTACAGAGATTGATACAAACATTTGAAGACAGTTCCTTCCTAAATATGTAGGATAATCCATTTCTTAACTGGGTTAAGCCAGCCCTGGGTATCTGGGAACCACGTACAAGTCAATTATTTAAAGGATTTAAAGGAATCCCAAGAACTAGGAAACACACACACAGCTAGAGAGAGAAAGTACATTCAACATAGCCCTAAGCTAGAAAAGCAGCATTAAAGGAGAGTTCAGTATAGGCAGATATGGGACGTATCTGCATAGAGGACCTGAAAGGAGCAAAGCACCACAGCCTCTACTGTAATTGTGTGGTGGTGCTCTATATATCTGGTACTTCCAATGGATACATTAACATTATATGCAACTTGAAAAAAAAAAAAAAAAAAGACACAAAAATCCCATACCTGTGTGGTAGAAAGAAAGAGACCCTTACAACAGAAAAGTCTCTAATACTTATTTGCTGTTGCCTATTTTACGGCAATTGACAATAATCACAGCCTTCCACATCAATTCAACCCTAGAAAATAAAATACTTCGTTCATCTCATCTAGATTATAATGAATCATTTTTATATAATGAGAAATTATCTGTTCTCTTCCTATTCTTCTGAGTCGGAACCAATAATCTCTTTCTATTTGTGCACAATGATAATATGCGTGGTCATAAAGATCAACATTTTCCTGTGTGCAGATACTACAGCTGCGGATACATGCTGGCAGTAGCACTCTTAAGTCCCATACCACAGTAAATCCCCAAATCTGTTATTGGTTTCGTTGCCATTTACAAGAACAAGTGTGACACACACGCACTGTCACCCCCTCCTGGTTTATTTTTCATTCTGCTCTAGATCTGTGGGACCGTGCTTGAAAGGAAGATAGCACAATTTGCTAGTTCAGTCACAAGTCTTTAATCATACTTTTCTGTCAACACAACTGGGGAATCCTTAATATACATTCAATTTTTTTAAAACACTGCATGTTATTCTTTAAAGAAAAACTGTGTCAGATTTTACATTGTCTGTTTCAAATTGTAATACCTCAGAAGAAGCATGGCTTCTGCACATACCTCTTTAATACTGAAACATACAATATTTCCTGGGAAGGAAAACAAAACGAAACAAATCCATACCAATAACAGTAAGATGGTATGATCTGAGTTTAAGACTGTGCATAATTTAGCTAGTTTGACACAATGGTCACTCAATTATTCTGCATCTCATCACAATCTAGCCCCCTAATTTTGAAATGCTGCTTCCAGCGACCTAGTGTTTTTCTACACCACTATTACAATGTACCCAACGTAACTATTAAAATAACTATGATTTTCACGCAAGTATATAGAAAAATCTGCCATATTTCTGAACCTATAAACATTCTCTCTTTCTTTCAGAGCCTCTCCAGAAGCACTCTGAACTGCTGGCCACCATTTACATTTCAGGGCAGAGCTGCGTACCAAGAACCTCCTCAAGGTGTATCAGAGCGCATATACAAAACTGAGAGCCCAAGTGGCTCTTATCAAACCTCTTTCTAAATCCTGCTTCTCTTAAGACTCCATCAGAGTTGACAAACTGTGTTTGATCTGAGTTGATTTGTAACTCATTTTTCTACGTTAGAGCGGTTTAACAAAGAAAACGCGTAACATTTATCATCAGTCTCCTGTTTGTCATTATGACCTATTATGCGCACGGCATACATTCTTATCAATTAGGGTATCCATACATTAAGCACACACGCACACAATCTTTAATCACTAGCAGGACACAAAATTTGCTGCACTCACTTTGTGGAGGGAACAGTGTTACATCTGCTTGTTTTCTATTTTCTACATCAAATTATACCAAAGGTATCTTGAATAGCCTTTTGTGTTCTGACTGCCCACATATCTCCTGCTCATTATGCCATTTACCTTCTTATCAGCTATACATTCCAGACCACATTACTTGAGTGACAGAAGAAGCAATTAGACTATACAAATTTTAAGCTTGCATAGTACTACTTAAATGTGTACCTCAAAAGTAAAGAATATTCAGGGATTGCTAATGCTACTAAATAAAACTGGGGCATCTCTGTGCTAGAAAATAGCAATTCATAAATCCTCTGTAGAGCAGCAGTATGTTATTTACAACATCTTTAAAAATGCAACGTTTGTTGTATCCAATGAAAACTGCAGAAGCTAGTCACATAAACAGAATCTAATCACTTACAGGAATATTTGTGCAAGAGAAAAAAACATCTTTGAACAGAAGAGCATCTGCACAGACAGACCTCAGATTATCAGGACTTTGGTTTATCTTCACATACAAAGCATATCACCTCCTAGCAAAGTAGCATTACTAAATTAGGGATGAATTCCATTTAACAAATTATATTCACCAGTCTATCACAATCAAGTATGCCAGCATCCCTTCCCACACATAGCTGCATTAGCAAGAATTTAGTTTTGTGAAGAAGGCACTATAGTTTTCTGATTTTGCATTACATCAAAGACAAGCAATGCTTTCAAAGTATAGAAACAATCTGCACCAAGGGTAATACAAAAGTTACTTAAAGCTATAACAAAAGCCTAAAGGCAGTAAGAGCAAAAAGAGGTGTTAAAAGGCCCCACAGCCTGGAACTATTCTCAGATTTCAGCTATCCCTGACACAGTAAAATTACACTACATATGGCCAAATACAGTTTGTCGGAATAGGAGTTATTCTACTTATATTTATCTCATATCAGGACAGCAAGATGAAACAAAGAAAATAAAGGAAAAAAAAAGAAAAAATTAGAATGGTAAAAAAACAACGCATTTTTTGTTTTTATACAGTCATATCACTTTAAACTGGCAGGGATATGCTTTACCAAAAACACACTAAACTGGAGACAAACCACAATGGATAGCTTAATATGCTCATTTTCTTCCTTAAAATAGAAAGATTCACATGGCCAGACAAAACTATTCTTAGACAAGACAAAAAAAAGGTCTTTAGAAAGAATCTTACAAAAAAAGCTGATTCTAGTTCTTCTGGGGGAAAAAAATAACAAAAAATCCCACCCTATATTGAAGAATAACAACCTGAATCTGGTATTTAAATAACCTAATGTGTGAAAATAAACATAAGCTTATCCTCCTGTTCTCCATCATATAAGCTTCTTTGCTCTGTTTCACATTGACCCTTCTTTCTTTAAATCCATAAAATAAAGAGAAATGTCAAAACAGCAAGTTATAGGAGAATGACTAGCAGTGCCCATCTGTCCCTCTGTAACCCTTCCAGTCAGCAGGAGGTTATCAAAAGGCTGCTACTCACATTAGGGAATTTAATAGGAGAATAGTTATGATAGAGGCATAACCCCTTTCCTAGGCAAATTCTAACAAAAGGCTGCCAATTTATATAAAAGCAAGCATAAATTATGCAAGTGTACCTATACAACAGAACTCTAGAAAAAGAAAGCACTCTTATCAGATTTCTTTTCCTTACAGACAAGACCTAAACTGCTTTCAGTTTCTTGTATCTTGGCCAAATTGGATTTTGTGCTGAAATCGTACACTGAGGCATCT